TGTAGTAATACTGAAGCACTGCTAGGAAATCCCTAGACTCAGTTCCGCTATTGCTATAGATAAAATACTTCTGTGTTCTCGAAACTATACCAATGCTCATGTGATTCTATTTGAAGGTGGGGCCTTTGGGGATGGGTAGTTAATATTGGTTATCAACTTGACAGGATCTGGGACCACCGATACGACCAATCTCTGGGCAAGTCTATGAGGGAGTTCCTGATTAGGTTAATTGAAGTAGGAAGATGTACTACCACCATTCCATAGGCTGGGGGGGTCCCAGACAGAATTACAAGGCTAAAGCATGCCCAGCTTCAGCTCTCCCCTCCAGCCTCTGACTGGACACGATGCGGCAACAGACTGACTGTGTTCAGGACTCCATGAATCCCCCATAGCAATGGACTGTAGGCTCAAACCGTGAGCCAAAAGACCTTCATTCTTTACACTGTTTTTCTTACAGGAATAAGAAAAGTAATTAATAAGGGAGGTAATCTCACTATAAAGAATTAATTCCCATACAAAAAGGGGCCCCAGAGATTACTCTTACCCTATAGCATAAGAGGTTACAGAAGAAAAACATGACTGTCTTCAAATTCGGCAAGCACTGAATCTGCTAGCCAATTGGTCTTGAGCTTCCAAGGGTCTGTAACTTTGAGAAATAAGTTGATTACAAATTTTTAGGGTCACACCTGAAGTAGACCAACACACTTGTCACATGAGAGGGTACCTGACAGCACACAGAGCTGTTTTATAGCATGTCGTCTAGGGTGCTAGAAGTGACTTAGTGTGTTTTCATGAGACATGGAGCCCTCTCGTCCTCACAGAGAAAACCTGTAACTTTTCACAGATTGGAGTTTCCCAGGAAAATCCTTCCCTTCAGAGGAACACAGGTGGGAGTTCCAGCCAAGCAGACTATGTTTTAGCTGTTGTTTTACCTCCAGCAGTTCTGACTCTGTGCTGGGCTGCAATAGTGTCCATTCCTCTAAAGCTGTAATATCTACCTCGAACATTCATTCTAACTCAGCATTGAGTGTCTAGTTTTTAACTAATGAGCATACAAGATTAGAGCCCTGTGTGGCTCTTGTTAGAGGCCCCTTCTTTCTAGAGACAGAGTCTCTGCCAGCAGAGAGAAGACAAGTAACTACTTCTCTCTTGGGATTCATTTTTTACCTGGATAGTCCCAGCTAACTGGCCAACTACTATCAGCTGTGTGTCCCCTGTACCTCCTGACACATCAGCTCACTATGCACCATGCTTTTCCTATGAGGCCATGACAATTCCACCATCTCTACTGGCGCCTGTAGGTCTAGTTCCTAGTGTCCATTTCTCTCAGAAAACCTGTCCTTGTGCCAGAGCTCACACAGTGTGTTAGCTTGTATAGATGGGCCTGGATTTTGTCCCTTGTAAAATTAGGAGGTTGGACTAGCGATGACCCTTTCTGCTCTGACAGTCTTATGACTCTATAAATGCCTCTTCTACTTAACGGGCCTTGACAGTACTTCGGTGAAGATGAAGTCATACCAGGCCTGGAGTAGACAATTTCGATGCCACCATTTCTGTGCCGAGGTCTTTTCTGAGAAGTTTCCCATCATGACTTTGGAGTGATGCTTCAATTTCTTGGAGGAGGGCTTTTTTTCAAATTCCATAGTTATTATTGGTTCACCTCACTTCTCTCGTCAGACCACGTAAGAGACTTGTCTTCTGCATTTATTATACCACACAAATTGAACTTGAAGGGAGAGCTTTGCTACCTGATGGCTTCCTGTCTCTCAGGAGCCTCCTGTCACTGAGGTCTTTGGCCAGGACCCAAGCAGGCCTCTGGTCCTGGGTCTCTGCCCATAGGTTGTCTTTGGGCTGATGCACTTCCTCCTCCTCTCTTTTGATGAAAGGATCTTTTTTCACAGTGCATTTATTAGAAACCTTTCTCCCTGAGGCTTATATGTAAATAGAGGATTATGAGCATAACTAATTTACATGAGATATAAAATATATTCATAAAGCATGACATATTATAAATGATACAATGAACAAAAATTAATGTTTTCCAATTGCATATTAGAATAGACAAATCCTCTTGTCATTTACTTTTGCTTTTAAAACTATAGTTCGTAACATTTCTTTTCTTGCCAATGAGCTAGTCTTTTTGTTTAAATCAGAGAACTTCAGCAGAGAGTGTTTTAGGAAATAACATATCTATACCGCATACATAAACTGGGTCTTCAAAAATGATTAATGAGATTGTTTTCCTTTTCCTAAGCTGAATTAAATCAAAAGCATAATCAAACCACTTGGCTGCAGAGAAGTTGGTCATTAATATTGCTTAAAAATTTAATAGGGAACAGCTGATTCAGTAGGCATGGAGATATACAGCCTTGGTAGACTTGAACTTGTCTGTCCTGAGCCACACTTGAAGGTATTCCAATAGCTCCAAGCAAAATCGTGACAGAATAATTGGCATTAAACAAGATAGAGGATATGTGTTCTTTGGCTATTGTGTTAGCAACTAAGTACATTGAAATCTGCCAAAAATATACTTTCCAAAGGAACATTACCAATATAATAAATGTTTGTGACCTTTAAGTCTTCCAATGGCTTACTGTGGCAATGGCAGGGAGTGAGGTGCAGACATCTTTACATAACCTTGCCTTCTTCCTCAGACAAGGACTGCATCTTGGTAAAAGGCCATCCTAGAGGAGCAGCGAGGAAGCCTTTCATGACCCCTCGACCTTCCACCCGGGCTAACGTTCCACCCGAACTGTTTCCTGTGCTCCTGTTGCTCATGATCATTGATGAGTGCTTGAGGAAAGAATCAGTTGATTCCGATATGGATCCACTCTGAAGATTCTTTTCCCCTGAGAGTCATTGCTGAGGAAGGAAAGTTGAAGATGAGAGAGAAAGTGCAAACATATCAGAGGCTACACTCGGAGGATGTCAGCAAGGCTGGGGGCAGGACTGAAAGGAACGACTGGGATGGGAGAGAAAGTTTATATACTTCAATATTATATCTAGGGTCCATCCTGAAACTTAAAAATAGAGACCTTTAACTCAAAATGGACAACATTGTAACGTGAGAGGGAAGGGAGTGGGAGGGAGAATATGACCAAAGAGAAATGATACACAGATCACCCAGAATTCCATCCTGCTATGAATTAAACACCAAGCAGATCTCTGCAGTAGCTTTTGGATAGACACACACAGGTCAGATTTTCTTGTAAAGAGTTGTTGGTTCCCACATCGTTGCCTTTTTATTTGAGCTCTCTGATGGTGACAGGACTTACTTCTCAAAATTCTCTTTGCTTGGTTCCCATGGTCTCACACTTTCCCACTCAACTTTCTTCCTGCAAACTGATCACTCACTCTTTGTTTAGCTTCCTCTTTCCATACTACCTCTTGTCCCTGAAATGCCCTGACTTCCGTATTTCCTAAGGAAAACTTCATGCCCTTCAGATGCCACAACACTGTCCGACGTTTTCAACTGGGAGCCAACTTTGATCTCCATGATCCGGTGCCCAAGCTGCTCACTGGACAGCCTCCCTGCCCTGAGTGTGCTGGCACTAAGTGATACGCATTTCTGCCTCTCCTCCACCTCCAGTCCTCTTCTATATTCCCTGTCAGGGGTGAGGAGAACAGACAGCCTAGACATCAAGAGATCTGAATCCTCTCTTTAATACAACTACTTTAAAGTTTTTATTATTATTCATACTAGTTGTAAATCCTAATGGGTTTCTCTCTGTCACTTTCATACACGTGTACATTGTCCCTTTCTGATACCACCTTCTTGTTCTCTCTGGCCTCCCTCTGCATTTCCTTTTCTTTCCCTCTGGTCATTTCCGATCCACCCTTCTTTCCTTCCTTTGTCCCTTACTCTAGATTTTCTGTTCTTTAAATCATCGTGTTCATACGCACTCCCCTATACACTGCTGTACACATACACACACACATACACACACAAACACACACACATACACACACACTGCTGTAACCGCTGCCCAGCCATTTTCCTGTCTGTCTCTTCACTACTGCTCCACGTGCAAGGCCTTGTCACAGACCGAGCAGGATTCCTCTGTTCAAGTCTTACAAGGTCCTCAGTCACTTGCATGGTATTAAAAAAAACAACCCTAAGTTGCAGTCAATTCTGATCTTCTATGATGTAGTTTATCATTATATATTAGTACACACACATACACACACATACTAACACATACACACACATACACACACACACACATACACCCATATCCACACATATGTCCACACATCCACATTCACACACATATACACATACACACACAAACACACACACATACACACACACACACACACACATACACCCATATCCACACATACATCCACACATCCACATTCACATACATATACACATATACACACAAACACACACATACACAACATACACACACACACACACACACACACACACACACACCTAACTGCTTTATGATCTCAGAACAGCTCTGTTCCCCTTTCTCGACACCAGTTTATATTCCTGGGGCTAAAATGATTTTGCATTTTCTGTGCTTATAGTGGCCATCTCCCATTCAGTTCTCAAATAGAGCTTTTACTCTATGAGGCCATCTCTAATTCTTTCTAAAGGTTCTAGTGTATCATCTGTGTGTACATCCACTGTGGCACTTACATTTGTTACTGAGCAACTGCAGCACCCGAACACTCCCTTCCACAGTAAATACTTTCTGCATGAATGAAAGTTGTGTGTATGTACTGGTATATCTCTCCATTTGACTGCAAGCTTCTTTGTACTCACAATAGCTTGTCTGACAGAATAGAGCTTGCACTGCTGAGTGATCATGGCAGGGAATGCTTTCAGCTGCTCCAGTCCTCACCATCTTTAATGTATTTCCATATTCAAAAATAAAAACTCAGAATTCTAGCTGGCTTTTAGAGGACTGATCCTATCTTGCTTAACAATCAACTTTAGCCAACTATACAATCGTGGGGGAAAGAAAAGCAATATTAATAATAGAAAATGGTGGCTCATAAAGATAATTTACTTAGTGTTTTCAAATTGCAAATTGCTGTTTATTTAGCATTTGTGATGGAGATTAAAGGTTCAGAGAGTCATGATGTGTTGAGCATAACTTGAATATGTACTCCAGGGGTCTATCCATCTGGGATGCCTTCTCTGCGCCTTCGAGCCCGACTTTATTCTGGACACTAATTTCACCACCTCTGAAACTGACACAAGGAAGAGCAAATGCCATAGACAGAAGGATTGGAATTGCTCTGCCCAGGTGAAGCAAGGCGTTGGTTCGTCGTTTGCTGAAGGAAGATGCTTTGAAGATGTTCTGTTAAAGAGTCTCTGCAAAGTTAGGGAACAATGACCATATGCATTTTAACAGCCAATACAATGTTGCACAACTTATAAATTTTATAGAACTAATTGAGGCTATAAAAAGTTCATTTTAGTTGGTATAGTGGAAATACTAAATGTTGACAATAAAATCATAGAGAACTGTCTTCAATGCTTAAATGATAAGAAATAAAATAAAACAATTAAAACCACCACCAACAAAAACTCCACTAAGCAATGTCTTGAATATCTTGTAGGGATATGTGGGTTTTGACTTGCAGTGATGCTTATTGGCTCTTCCTAAGACCGAATGGAAAGATCCCCACCCCTCATCTTCCCTTGCTATTTATCCTGCCTAACACCTTTGCCTTCCATATTCCCCAGGGGAACATTTGATTGCCAAGATCCTTAACCCATCACATCGACTTGACTGTAAACGCTTATTTAGAAAGATTCAGTAGTAAATAAAACAGATAAAAGTCTCTACCCACCTGGAAATTTATCATTCTTCTTGAATTGAAAATGAAGAATCCAAAAATGTGATTCCATTCCCCAGATCAGGGACAGGAGGCGGTCGTAGGCTGCAGAGGCCAGCTCCTGTTTGGAGAGCAAGCTGGAGCTCAATTCTTGGTGCTGTATTTTCTGAATGGTGTCCATGAAGGGGCTGGCCTGAACAGGAAGGGGCGGCCTGAACATGACTCCAGCCATCCGTCCGTAGGAGGAGGTTCCCAGGGAAATGATTAACCATCCTGAGAAGGATGAATAACAGGGGAGAAGGGATTTGTTCAAAACCATCATCCACGGAAAAGGAAAACTATGCAGGAGTGTATACGCATGCGCACACATGGTGGGGCAGCCCAGATCTCTGCCTGTGGGAAGCTATGAAAGAAGGCAAAAGTACCCAGGACCTCATTCCCTGAAATCTGGTCCACGAGAACAAAAGGTCAGAGCTGTTGAAACTCAAATCCTGATGACTGTCAGAACAGCTGTCCTTTTCTCCCAGGCACTTGTCAGCTGATGAAACCTCCGAGGTTTCTTCCTACTAATTACCACTGATTGCCTTAAACCATGCATTTCAAGGAAAGTGTGTTTTATATTTATATGAGTTTATAAATTGGAATTACCATGCCAGGAGTAGGTAGGACTGGCAATAACATTCGGGGGGGGGGGGAGTCATTGGACCTAATGCTCCAAAGTGCTCAACATTCTTTTTTTGGTTACTTAATCTATCTCACTGAATATAAGAATAAATTTTTTATGCTGAAATACTTGTGATACAATTTCTTCCCCATTCCCTGCTGTGTGAGCAAGGCCTGCAGACTACGGGAATCCAAAGGCTTAGACTGTTCTTCTCCATCACAGCTGGTGTACATTGGAAATGCAAACCCGCCTGGGTATTTCCAAGGAGAATATTCTTTTCATGATGACGCTGGAGTAATCTATTCTTCAGTAGAAATGACCCGTTTCCAGGGCCTCATAACTGAGCAGTTTCATATGAGTTGATGTATCCTTTTGAGATCAGAAATATCTGTCAATAGATCTTTGCTAAAGATTAGGGCAATAAGCAACCTAGGTTTCTCTGATCTTCAAAGAGAGCTATAAATAAGGACTCCAAGGTCACCAGGAAGAAATTAGCACAGGCAGAAAAAAAAAAAACCAGATCCTTCATCTTATTGATTTTCACTGCTTTCCAAAATTGAAGGGAAGTTTTAAAAACTGACTTTTCTTTTTCAAATAAATCTTAAAAGGCAGATGTCTATCTAACTTAAACTGAGCACAAGGCAATGTTAATCGTTTTGCTGAAACAAAAGGTAAGAAAATAATGGCATAGATTTTATTTTAAATCGCATATAAGAGAATAGGACTGACTAGATGATGTCATTTACATTTTAAACAATGGCAGCTGCCTAGCTGCTTTACATACAACATAGTGGACCGATGACGTGCAGGCCTACCATTTACCATCTGTGTGATCTCAACAAACCACAGAACCTCTGCCTGCCTGCTCATTTGAACACTGACGAGAATAACAGTATTGACATCAGAGGATTGTTTGAAGATTAAATGAAAACCATGCCATAGGCTTGCACACACACACACACACACACACACACACACACGAAATAGCATTATTTCACTGATGACATGTAATCAAAGAGGCCACATTTCACTCCCATTTTAATAGAGAGAATATAAGATACAAGAATTTAGGTTTTAATCAAGGTTAACCACCTAGATCAAAATCAACCTTGCATAAGGCTTCAGATTTCTGCTTTCATCTGCTCTAGTATGCTGCACTGGTACACTGGTATCCTCAAATTCTATTGGATTTGGACAGAATTCAAATAAATACATTGTGTGTGCCTGAAATTAGCAATAGGTCCCTACAAAGAGTCATCCTTTGACATCATGGTTTCCAGACTCACTGCTAATGGGCGCATGGCGGCTTGGAATGAGCGCCCATCTAACAAGAATCCCAGTTTATATCTTCAATTAGTCATGAGAAAAATTTAAATGTAAAGACAAAGATACGCATTTAGAAACTTGCAGTTCCGAAACAAAGACCTAAAGAGTATTTCTAACAATGGGTGTAGCTGGTTATTTTCCTTTATTTTTCTTGATGGGGGCAATGGTTTAAAATGTCTACAGAGAGTGTTATTACTATTTACAAGTTCATGCAGCAGATACAATGGGTTGGCTTGACAATCAAGAAGATACGAGAACAAAACTAAATATGCAAGGATTTGCTATGTGATGTGGAACCAGTGTTACGCTTCGACTGTGGTTACCATGCTAGGATGTTAGGGCACAGAACAGAATAAATAGCTACAATGAATGTGCTGTGGAACTAGTATTCAAATGGCCAGGATTACAACCTTGTATTATTCCACTCCAATAAAACAATTTTTATAGGAAGAGTTCTCATTCATTTAATTACTATCATTAATACTTTCCTGAAAATATATATATATATATATTTCATTTGTTTTTATTTTGGAAAATAATAATTCAGTGATGGGGAGTCTTTTGTTTGGAAGTGTGCCAAGAAGAAAACCCACACATCACCAATTTTCTTTCTATAGAAGATGATGCTCACTCAGAGTGTTACATTTAAATTCCAGACTAACCTCAGTGTTGACGAGAGCCTCCAATGCCACCAACTAGAGCACAATTTACAATCTTGAGATGATTTTTTTTTATCTGTGACATGAGTAAAAATTAAACTATATGTGATAATAAACCAAGGAGAAAGAGGTCTTTAGAATTATTTTTAAAAGGATTTTGATTATTTAAGAGTCTCTTGCCATAAAGTGGAAGAGCGTAGCCCTCTTCAAAATATGCTAACAGAAAAGAACTCCACACACCTCTCCACTCCTTATTGTATATTCTTGAGAAGTATGAGACTGACTTGGAAAAGCATTAAGAAGCAACTCAGAGAGCCTCTAATGAAATTTTCTTAAACTTTAATGGTTGACAGAGTTCTTTCAGAGTCTGTGGAAATGATCTCCCTATGAAAAGTACATGAACACAAAAACTTCAAACCATCTCAGAAGGCATAAAAGATCACTTAAAGCCCTTTTATGGATATAAGGACCCAGAAGAAGAAGAATTTGTTTCTTAACGGCATGATTTATGCTTTATAGGCTACAAATTTGAACTGTCCAAGCATAAGTACTCCACTCAATGGAATGGTTACTAATACAAACCTCTTTGTAGCCAGAGTTTTAATGGATTTCAAAGTGCTTCTTCACATGACCCAGTTGATGTACAGCCTAGAGAGCCAGGAAGTAGACTGGGCAACATAACGAGTGATTATCCTGTCCAATGTCTGATAGCATGCTATGACACATTTCTAACAACATTTGATAGTCTACTAGAATTGTTTTGTTTAAGGAAAAGTGTTCCCTTGTAAGACATATCCTTAGAACTACTTACGAGGCCCCTTTCTTTGAATCATCTAAGATAGACAGCTAAGAGGGACAGTTTTTAAAGTTTCAGAAGTTGTATGTTCTTTCATCCAAAATGCTTGGAACTTCAAAATCATATGTGTGGGGCAGATGTGGTTTACGCTTGCTTTATTGCTTGTGAGTTTCAGTGCTCAGTGCTCTGGAGCACTTCAGAGTTTACAGATTGGAGATTTAGTCTGTATTAGGTGGGGGTGTCCTTGAGACTATTTCAAGGATTTTTTTTTTTTTGGCAATTTGCAGATCTCCGTGAGTCTGAATTTCTTAATATACTTCAACCAAAACAACATATTGTAACAGATTGGCTTCAGAAACAGATATGGGAACCCAGATGTTTTCAGCCAGACACAAAAGAGATCTGCAAAGATGGAAACTATACCACTTTTCTATTTGTTTTGGAGATGGTAACATGGATTCTTGTGTTTTATTTGAAAAGAATTAAAAATAGTTGAAATTTTCATTTTCATTTCTAAGTAGAAGTTCTCCTCCGGAGTCCTAATTAAAATTTAAGAACACTGAAGGGGCTTAGATAACAAAAGCTTGATTATTTGACAAGTCAAAGAGGCAGCTCAGTAGAGGAGCAAGTGTTTGTGGAGGAGTGCAGGGGAAAGGGTAGTTGGGGTCCTGTGTGGATGGCACCATGTCTCCTCTTGAGACAGAGTTCCTTTAATGGCACTAAAAGTGATGGGGTAGGAGACGGACGCAGTCCAGTCTACTTTTTCATTGTGTTTGTGGCCTGTCCCAAATTCAATTAACAGAAAGAGCTCTGAAAAAAACAAACCAAAACAAAAAACCACAAGCGATCAGAGTGTAGTATCATAAAACAAGGAATGATATCTGCTGATTGTAGAATCAGAACAACAAAACTGCTGTGTTCACAACAAAGAGAATGGAACAAAATTTCCAGAGTTCAGGATTTTTGTTTATTGCCATCTTATAAAAGATTTCTTAATTATTAACTTTTCTCTTCTGTAATATAATTTCATGGGGTCATTAAAGGGTCAAATAAACATGAGATACAGGAAAAATCTAGTGTACTTTCCCCAGGCATGTATTAAAATTTAATGTAACTGGAAGGTACTAAGCGTTTTGCTTGAGTTTCCTGTTGCTGTGAAAGTGCTTGACTTTGGGATGGGGAAACACAACCTGTAGAAATTTTACTTGATAACTCGTTTGGGATAATTTAACCTCTTCTAGTCTCATTAACTTATCTAAAATGTGAATAATATTCATCTCACAAGGTTGCCGGGGACCAAAGGTAGATAGCCTGTGTCAACAGTACAGCATAGGGCAGTGCTGATCTTCAGCGAATAGTGGACAGTGCCTGTAAATGGCAAGGACAGCAGGCAAAACCGTGCAGACAACACTTTAAACAAGGTGGAAGGTCTGGTGTGTCACTACAGACAGAAGCGCTATGGGTACTTAAGGGAAAGAAACGTCATACTTGTTAGGAGCAAGGAAGAAGCCTGGGGGCTAGGGGTTGGGGTGAGGTGGAGGTGAAGGGCCGGGGATTATCCCTCTTTCCACGTCCTGACCCCAGGTCCACTCCACTCCACCCCAAGAGTGTCCAAAGGGCCCCCGCGGCTTCCCTGCCAGACTGGAAGCGCAGACCCTGTAGCCCGGCCGGCGGGATGTATCCCCAGAGCCTTTGGCTCAGGTTTCTACATCAGATTATTCACAGGGACCTACGACCTACTCACTCTTTCAGAGCCAATTTCAAGTGGAGCCGGCAGGGTCGGGGTCAGAGCACGGAACTTTCAAGTTCACAGCCTCCCACCCATCCCTCTTTCCTCCACGCATAGCCCATCAGCCTCGAGGATCTCCGGTGTGGGCCACAACACCAAGGCCGGGGACTGCGGCGGAGCTCGGTCAGAGCACACCCCCTCCGGGCCCCCTAGCTCCGGTGGCCCGGGAACACAGCGGCCGGCGTTCGTGTGCTCGCACATCGATTGGCACTGCCTCGCTCCTTGGGCTCCAGGCGCGGCGAAATCCGCGCGAGCCCGGTCGAGTCCAGGGGAGCGCGGGGCGGGAACCAAGGCAGGCGGGCCAGGGGATTGCCGAGTGCACGGATGAGCGCCGGTGCCGGCTCCCGCTCAGTCTGGCGGGTGGCGGCGCCGGCTGGTTGTGCGGCGCGAGGCCCGAGCCCCGCAGTCGCCAGCCTTGTCGCCGGCCGCTGGCGCGCGCGCTGCGCGTCCCTGCCCCCGGGAAGGCCGGCCCGCTAGGGGCTCGCGCGACCGACGCAGGGCCGGCGGGAGGGAGCGCGCGCGGGAGGCCCCGCCCCTCCCCCTCCGCCGCCGCGGAGCGCGCAGGGAGCAGCCAGGGGCTCGGCGGCGGCGGCGGCGGCGGCGGCGTCTGGTCCCAGCTCCTCCTCCTCCTCCTCCATCTCCTCGCTCCCTCCATCTGCCGTGGGTATGGCCCGTCGCTGGAACACAAAAGAGTCTCCGCGGCGGGGGTCGGCGTGGCTCTTGCTTTTCCTCGCTGGGGTGTACGGTAAGTGTCCGCCTCCCTGCGCCCCGCTGACCGAACAAAGCTGGGGCGACCCCGGGGGCCCCCAGGCCTCCAGGACGGGCTGTGCTTGGGCGACCTGGGGAGACCCCGGTTGCCGGCGGGACAAAGATCCACGCGGGATGTGCCGGGAGGGTTGTCTGCCCGCGGGGATGCTGGGGTCCGCTGGCCTCCGCCGACCCTTGGGGCGATGGAGGCGGGCCGGTCCGAGCCGGGGGTCCCTACAGAGTGACGGCGTGCGGGAGGACTCCCCAGCCCGGCGCGAGGGCCCCGGCGGCTCGCTCCTCTAGCGCTCGCTGCCGGGTGTACAGTCCTCGCACACAAAGATGTGACCGTGAGACTACGAAGGGGAGGTCGCCCCCGGGACGGTCCTGCCCCAGATCCTTCCCGAGGCAGGAAGTTCTCTTCTCGGTGAAATTGCTGTCGCGCCCATCTCTCTTGGTCCCCACTCCCTCCAAAAGCACCCAGATTGCTTCCTTCCCACCTCTCTACCTCTGCGCCTGGGGCTCTGTGGGTCCGGGGCGTGTAGGATCTTGTTCCCAGTAGCTGCACTTCAGAGAAGGCCAGAAAATAGTTTCCAGCCCCACCTCAGTCTTCCTCGATTGGGGCGTACAAGTCTGCCCTAACTCCCAGTTCACTTGTCATTTCATCTAGGCTCTCTGATACTGTTGTTAGGACTGTTGCCTCATTCCGATCTGTGATCAGGTGAGGGATACTTCTTTAAGGATTTCAGGCTGATTGTGTGTCACGACCGTGCTTTGTATGAACTAGAGCTAAGGGAAATTAAGAGGACTGCTCACCACTTGAGACCTGAGCTTGGGCTCTGACTTCACCATTCTTAGTTCTCATAGTTAACTCCTTGGATGGGTATTGCAGAGAGCACAATTAGTATTTCCATTTTTGGAGACCGGTTTGATTTCTCCAGAAAAACAGTTAGAAGCTACTTTTTTGTTGTTGTTAATTTTTACTTATAAAAAGTCCATGTCATTTGCCACAAATACTGATTCAGTAGTATGATGGTGGTGTTTTTTGTCAACCTATAATTCCCCAGCATATGGTAGCATCTCCTTTGAAAGCACTTATCTGTGGAATTAAATATGATGGTAACTTTCAAAGCCTGAAAATTTACAGTGTATGAAAAATATAATGGACTTAAATTGGCATTTCCTGACACCCAAGACATGGTCATATTTTCAGTATAATTCAGGATGTGTTGCTCCCTTGCCCTCGTTATTTTGTTCTGAGCAGGAGGATGGGTTCATCCACATTTGATGTAGTAACTGTCAATGATGTGTTTGTGTGGGACCGGAAAACCCAGTGCATGACTTTTCACTGTTAGTTCTATCCTGCTTGGCTGATGACTTGTGGGTTTGGGTCTACACCAGAGATCAATAAGCTATTATGTTGTGTTTTTTTTTTTTTTCCTAGCCTGGAGGTGAGTATAGTTCTGCTCTAGGTTTGGTATAATGGCCCAGGAGAAAGGAAAGCGAGAGGAATCTTTAATCTAGGATGATTAGTAATGTCCAGTTCTGTATGCTCTGCAGTGTAGTCAGAATTGAGTTTATGTGGTGTCTGATCAGACTAAATAAATAAGTTGAGTCTTCAGTAAAACTCATGCCATCAGTGTTTGAGCTAAAGACCCTTTGCCTTCAGAGATGAAGAGGCTGTAAGCAGCATTGGTCCTGGTGTGTTCTTTTATACTGATACACCAAGTGGACTTCTGGTAGGTACTTTACACAGGTTTATCTCTTCGGTGTTGTGTTCAGTGAGGAACTGAAGTCAAAGGCCAGAACTCCTTTTCCACCATTGTGGGATCAGGTTTATAAAGCTGTCAGGTGATTGTCCTGAAGGTTGACGTCTCCAGCCATTTGAGTTTCAAATGATAAGGAAATAAGAGGCATCGAAACAGGTATTACATTGAACTGCATTGGCAGAGCTAAAAGAAATTCTTCATCCTGAAACCAGGGGCATTCTCTGTACAGCCCTGTGTGTGTGTGTGTGTGTGTGTGTGTGTGTGTGTATGTGTGTGTGTGTGTTTCTGTTTCCTCACCCAGATTTGGGTTTATATTAATAGGAAAAGAAAAACAAACTGTCGCAATAGTTAAACTATGTACCCGAGTAGGAATAGTGGAGTTTTGTGTGGTCTGTGTTAGTTGTGATGTATAGTGGATATACTCTGACAGAATCATTTGAATGAACACAGAACATACATACATACATACATACATACATGCATATGTACATACATGCATGCATACATTATGGAGTAAACTTCTTGAAGTCCTGAATTCCATCCCTAGTTCATATAAAAAAGCTGGACAGTGTGGCATTCTCTTGGGAAGGCAGAGGCAGCCAGATTCCCTGGGGCTCATTAGTTAGTCTAACCTTGGCAAGCGTCAGACACATGGGAGACCCTTGTCTGGGAAAGATGGACAGCACCCGAGGAGGAACACAGATGGTTGCCCTCTGACCTCTGACCTCCACATACACATGCACATGTGCACACACACACAAGGATGGCTTCAAAACTAAAGGACTGTTGAGATAGCTCAGCAGGTAAAGATATTTTCTACAGAGCCTGGTGACTTGAGTTCGGTAAGGCAGAAGGAGATAACAAGCTTCACAAAGCTGTTCTCGGACCCACAGACATACCCTGTTCACACACAGGTCCTAAACACGCACAAATTAATGTAAGTAATTGAATCAATAAATAAAATTAGCAAGTTCTGTTAAAACAAGTGGATATTCTGAATAACTTGACATAGACCTGATACGGAAAGGTTCTGAGCCAGTATTTAAGGAATTCTAACAGTTTTGTTTATTCATTTGCTTGGAAGGTTGGTTTTAGTTCTTTTGTTTTGTTTTCGGTTACTCCTGGCTGCTAACCAAAATATGAACCTTTGAAACATTTCATATAGATTTTAAAATGCTTATTTGGTGTTTACACTCTTTCCATAACCTTTTATTTGTTGGTGAACTGTGATATGTGACTATTACAGCTACAGGTTATCTTTCCAGACGCCAGAGTCTTGCTTGAACTTTAAATTGTGTAAAAGTATACAGTGAATTCAGATTATGCATCAACCTACAGCTAATGCTTTCTGAGGTTGTCCTCAGGCCAGTATTACCTTTCAGTCATTCTTCTGTCTGCATAGCTTTGAACATGCAGGAGAACAGGAGAAAGCAAAGGTTGACATCGGCTTTCTATAGAAGCTTGAAAGGAGTGTGAACCACAATGGTGGTACCCTAGAGCTTAGCTGGCTGTCGCCCTAGGCCTACTGTCAGGGAGAAGTCCTGGTCAGTTTCTCAACAGGGTGCCTGCCTTGCCATAACATGGAGCTTCCAAATACCTTTCTCTTCCAGTCAGCAGTAACAGCACCACTGCTCTATCCCTTCTGTCTGTCTCCTAGATCAGTGTTTGCTGTCACTCAAATCGACCCCTTAAATCCATTTTACATTGCTTTCTAGATATATCTGGAGAAACAAACAAAGCTCGTGAGGTGGTGTCCTTACGTTTGGGATTCACTGGGACATGCTGTCTGTCATTCATCCCCCTCTTCCTGCCTTCTTTTCCCTCATGTGCTCATCTTGACTCTAGCTTTTGGCCCACTGTTTGATTTGATGAACACTGCCCAAGATGAAGTCTTAGAGTATGATTTAGAACATTTGTTTTGCGTGTTTATGATCTTGTAATTGCCTTGGAGAGTTTCAGGCTACTTCCTGCTAAAGCATTCAGTGTCAGTAAAAACTCATCCTGATGTACACTCTCTGACCTGTGATGACACTCGTATTTGAACTGTCATCTGATTATGGCAAGTCTTTATTGTGCATGCACCTGCTGTTCTGGGTGCTGTGGCAGGGTATAATATTCCTTACCCTTTACTTTACATCTAATGGATGAATCTTTTCCCTTGAATTATATGGAACATTCAGCAGTACTAAAAATTTTTTCCAGTGTAAGGATAGACACTAGAAGTTCCAATTTTAGAAAAGTGGTAGAAATAACTGGAACAGAAGGGAAAAAATTTTAAGCTGATACCAATTACTTCTGAGAAAGTCAAGCTTGATTACATAAAATATGTTGAATAAAACTGAATTAATTGCTTAATATAAACCCTTCTTTGAGTTCAGAATCTAAATTATATCTATATCCTAGGAGACTAAAGACAGGCAGCAGATTCCTCCCAATTCCAGGGGCTTGGGTGGAATGACAACTTTTTGAAGCGTAGCTGTCTACATTCCTGGAGTTTGGAAGAGGTTTGAATGATGTGCCGTAAATGATTTAGACGCTTCCTAGAAAGTCTGATCTCCGCTGAAGAAAACTGAAGA